ACTACTACTACTACTACTACTACTACTACTACTACTACTACTACTACTACTACTACTACTACTACTACTACTACTACTACTACTACTACTACTACTACGACTAACTACAACTACTACTACGACCACCACGACCACTACCACTACCACTAACACTACCACTACCACACTACCACTACTACTACCACTACCACTACCACTACCACTACTACTACTGCAAGGAAGCTGGCCCGCAACACCTCGACGGGCACCGCGCCCGCTGCGCGAGAGGGATGAACGAGCAAGACAGCCAGTCAGCATATACCCACCCCGCGTAGGGCGGCGCCTGCAGAGGGCACTTGGCCGCAGGACACTCCGCAGAGACACGCGCGCCTTGGGGGCCACGCACAGAGAGGCGAGAGAAGAAGACAACTGCGGGCGCCCCCGCCGGCCCGGCCTGAGACCCCCCACCCCCCCACCCCCACCCCCTCGCGACGCATTGGCGGCGGAAGCAAGCGGGAGATGAAAAAAAAACCTGGCCGGGCAGACCTCGCCGCGACAGCATTGCAAGGGAGGCGGCGGCAAAAAAACGCCAGGATGCGCCCCTGCCGGGGCGAATATTGAAAGTCTGGTATGCGCGCGCGACGTCGTAATATTATAGATACATGCTGGATTGCCCACTGCGGAGTGCGTTGTAGCGCAAGATGTGCACCTGGCGGGATCGACCGAGAATGAAGGCACCATTGCGAGAGCGCGCGAGAGCTCGAGCACGTCGACGCGCGCCTCTCGACGCACGCCGGCGGGAGGGCAGGCTAGGCGATGCGAGCTCAACCGCTGGATTCCCCGAGGCTCAACTGCCCTGAGGAGCGGGATCACCGCGCGAGCTCAACCGCTGGATCCCTCGAGGCGCAACTGCCCTGAGGAGCGGGGGCGCCGACGGCGCCGCCGGCCCTCCCCGTGCGCGAGACCGCGCGAGAAAGGGAGACGAGAGGAAAAAAAGGAAATAAGGGAAAGTGCTGCCCCCGCCCAAAATGGGCTGCTCTTCGCGATTAGTGGCGCGCCGCCCCGCCCAAAATGGGCCGCTCATGCCGACGAGGGCCGGGCTCTGGCCGCCTCGAGCACGTCTTTCAATGCTCCGCGGTGAGAGACGCCAGCATTCGGGGCTGCGACCCCCCCGCAGAGGCCCCCCATTTGCGACGGAGGAAGGCTTAAGAGAGGAAGGGGGCGGACCCGACTCCAGGGAGACGCGGGAGGGCGAATTCCCGCTACGAGGCCGCAGGACCGGGAGAGAAGAGGGGAAGGGGGAAAGGGGGAAAGACCCCACCCCCGAAGAGGGGCATCCGTGACCATGCGCTGCAGGAGAGGATGGATACGGACCTTCGAGGCGCATCTGCCCGGGGGAGCGGGGGCCCCCCCCCGACGCGAGACCCCGCGAGAGAGGGAGACGAAGGGGAAAAATGGCATAGGGGAAAGTGTTGCCCCCGCCCCAAAAAAAGCTGCCATTCGCGATTGGGGGCGCGCCGGCCGCGCCCAAAATGGGCTGCTCTTGCCGACGAGGACCGGGCTCTGGCCACCTCGGGCACGTCTTCTCAATGCTCCGCGGTGAGAGGCGCCAGCATGCGGGGCCGCGACCCCCCCGCAGAGGCCCCTCATTCGCGACAGGAAGGAGGTTTAAGAAAGGACGGGGGCGGGCCCGACTTTAGGGAGACGCGGAGTGTGAATCCCCGCGACCCCCAGAGGCTGCGGGGCCAGAAGAGAGGAGGGCGAAGGGGGGGAGGGGGAAAGACACCCCCCCCCCCCGAAAAGGGGCACCCGCGCCCGTGCGTTGCAGGAAAGGTTGGATAAGGAACTGCGCTGAGCTGCCGCGGGGCCCGCTACGAGGACTGAACCTGAAGTTGTGGGCGCCACGAGCTCCGCGAGGAAGAGTTACCTGAATGCGACGGTGACTGTGACAACCATCGACCACAAAACAAATCAAGGGGTCTTGGGTCAGCTGAGGGCGCCTAAGGCCCCCGCCATCGACGTCTCGGAATTGTCCGCGCGCGCAGAGTAGACTCGGCACCTGCTCGCCCGGCGCGACGTGCGCCGCGCGACTTGCGCGCGGCCCGGGCGGGCAAGGAAGTCCACGGTCCGTGCCTTTTCAGCATATCTGATTCACGAGTCTCTTTTCGAGCCTGGGAGCGGTGGCAGTAGCAAACGCCCGGGCGCCGGCCGCCCCGGCCAGCTGGGGCTGCTCTTCGCGATTCGGGGAACGAAGTGCCAGTCTTGCGCGAGGCCCGCCGCCGCCCATACATCGGCCAATCGCGCTTCGAGGGGGGCGAAATCGCAAGCCGAAGTCGGGGGTCGCCAGCCTGCAGGTCTGGGCCTGCGCGCCATGCAACTCTGCCCGGGCGCTGGCATTCCGCGAACGATCACGGAGATCCTTTCCGCAAGCAATACACGCGCGCTCAAATGCATCAAAACCTTAAGCGAAGACCGCCCGGTGCGACGCAGCTTCCAGCAATCGCCCCAAATTGAATGCGCGCACGGCGACAACATGCACAGACAGAAGCGCGAGGAGAAATGATACAGGACGCACGGATGGCGGGAGAGAAGCAATGGATGGATGGAGATTGCAAAGGACAGCGGAAAGCGAGAAGGAAGGCGTTGACGTGCACCCGCGGGGAGGCGGACAGCGACGCCCCCGCCCCCCTCCCCCGACGAAAGATGACGTGAGAGAATTAAAGAACCAGGATAATGGGGGGTACATCGAGAGACAACGCAGGCACGAATTCAACTGATATCAAGATCGAAACTGCGATAATAACTGATCAACTAGATCGCGCACAACGTGCGACGTGGGCCACTCCAGGCCTCAGAGATGCACGACGGTCATCAACATATGTGTCGCATATGTGATGCCGGCATCAAGATAGGAGTCATGAGGAGAATGCCTCGCGCAGGTCGTACTCAGGCGCCTTCCCATGAACGCAAAATATACGGCATCAATTTCGATCTGCCCGCTGGCAGAAAGCATGCTGATCACGGACCGCCCCACCACCTGAAGCTATTGCGCCGTCCTTCGGCTGGCGCTGCACAACTCAAAACGGGCAATAAGATCCGTCGCACCACCTGAAGCAATTGCGCTGTCCTTCGCGCGGCGCAGCACCAGCGCAACTCAGAATGAGCAAACATGCGACGACGGTCGCAGGGCCCAGAGGGCAAAGCAAGAGCGGCCGATAACCTGTGAGAGGAATGAACAAGCAAGACAGCCAGTCAGCATATACCCACCCTCATGGAACGGCGCCTGCACGGGGCGCTTGGCCGCAGGACGCCCCACAGAGACGCGCGCGCCTTGAGGGTCGCGCACAGAGAGGTGAGAGAAGAAGACAACTGCGGGTGCCCCCGCCGGCCCGGCCTGAGACATCTTCCACGCGCTGCGCTCTTGAGACGCTCGCGGTCGGGCGGCTGCGAGCCAGCTTCGCCAGGGGCGCCCTCAGGGGCGGGCCGAGCACGCCCAGCAGCACCTTCCCTCCCAGCTTCGGGCGGGCGAGGACTCGCTCCGCGACTTCGCCCGAAGCGCCGAGCTCCTTGAGCAGCTCCCCCAGGCCCTCGAGGTTGACGCCGGGGCCCTCGCCCACAGGCGTGTCCTTTACGTCGGGCGGCTTGAGGACCACGGCGTTGAACTCTCGCATAGTTGCCTCCAGCTCGGGCCCCTCCACCCGCAGCGTCCTGGCCCTCTCCCTCTCGTCCTCGAGGGCCTTCTGGGCTTCGACCACCATCTCCTCTGCCTTGGCGACCGCCCCCTCCTGCTTGGCGGTCGCGCCCTGCTTCGCCTCGAGTTTTAGTTTTTCTGCAGCACCAGCAACTGGGTGAAGGCGGGCCTCTTCGAGCGGACTTCCTCTCCCAGCATGTGCCGTTGCTCCTCCAGCTTGTCCATCGTGTCCTTGGCCAGCTCCGACGGCGACGCGATAGCGCGGAGGCTACGCAGCTCGTCGTCCAGCTGAGCCAGCGCCCTGTTCTGCACCCCGAAAGCATCCTCCACGGCCACCTCCTCAGTGGCTTTCGCCAGTTCAGGCAGTGGACCATTGGCCTTGCTTGCGGTCCGCACCACTTTGACCTCATCCCGCAGTTTAGCTAACTCCTTCTGCATCGGTCCCTGGGCCACCTGCAGATAGCTGGGCGCGCCTGCGGACCCTGGTCCGCCCTGCGGGCGACGGCGTGGGACGCCCTCGTCACCTCGAGCTCGACCAAAGAAGGCCACCGACTTGTCCACCCCGCAGAAGTGGCACTTCTTTTTCGTCCCGAAGGTGGCCACGAGTATCCCGACCTTGGGCCCGCGCTTATACTTGCAGAACTTGCAGTGCCAGTCGGGCGTGTTCTCGGCGCGGCCGCCAGGCGCCATGGTCCCCCGCCTGCACCGAGGAGGTACAGCGAGGCCAGCCACATAACCACAAGCAACGTCGCGCGCGTGCTCACCTGCGGGCGGCAGGAGACACCCAGGGACCTGAGGCGAATCAGGCCCTGGCAAAAACTGGTTGGAACTGGCCGCGGACTAGCGGTATCCGTTTTGTCCCCGGAGGAAGAAAGCATCTTGAGCAGAAAAGGCTACGGATGGAGGAAGGGAGGAAGGGACGGAGGAGGGGGGGAGGGAGGGAAGGAGGAGTACGGAGGAGGAGGAAACAGAGGGGAGCGATCCAGCGAGTGAGGGAGGGAGGGGAGGGAGCAAGGGAAGCGTCTGGGCGTCAAAATGCACGCGGAGCAGCGCGCCAAACAGGCGCGCAACATAAGGCTGTTCTGCCTCAAGCTTTGCCAACACAACAACCACCGCGACCGCTCGTGTAAACTGATGGTGTTAAATATGCGTTGGCTTTAAAATCTTGATACGTCCTGCGTAAGTCCCGATTCGGGCCCCGAACCTGCATCCCCTCCCCTCTGAACATGCTTGTGAGAGCAGGCCCCCGAACCGGTCCCGAGGAGGGAGGGGGGGAGGCAGGCATGGAGGGAGGGGGGAGGAGAAAGCATCCCGCTTCGCCCCAGGCAGCCTCTCCGACGGAGCACTCCGCGCCGCGGCCCCCACAGGCGCACGGGGCACTGGCGATGGCTCCGTCCGCACACGACTCCACGGCACAGTCGCTCGAGGCCCAGACGCCGCTGCGGCTCCTGCACCTGCAGGGGCCGCCCGCGCCCGCGCCGCAGGAGTCCAGGCTGGAGCAGACCTGGGCGCTGGCCATACAGATCCCTCGCCTCTTCCCTCCCTGCTCCCTCTCCTCCTCTCCTCCGCCTTCCCCTCCTCTCCTCCTCCTCCTCCTCCTCCTCCTCCTCCTCCTCCTCCTCCTCCTCCTCCTCCTCCTCCTTCTTCCGCCGTCTCCGCATCCTCCCCTTCTGATCGTCCTTTTCTCATCTTGCTCCTCCTGCTCCTCCTCACAGCTCCTCCTCCTCCTCCTTTTCCTCCATTCCTTTTCCGTATACATAACTCCACTGTGTCACACCCCAAAGCCAGTCGAAAGGGCGGGCCGGGCCGTTCGCCGGAGACTCCCTGACCACTAATGACCCTGAAGCTCAAAAATGACAACAGCATCACAGATGGAGGGGTCGCTTCCACAATGTGGCCCTCGCAGTTGCGCCGCGCACATTCGTCTTTGCAACTTGCGAGAGCTTCAGGGATTGAGGGTGCGTGGTTTTCAACGTGTGGCTTTCGCCTTGGCGCCGCGCACACTCGTTTTAAACAATTGCAGAAGTTTCACGGGTTGAGGGCGGTTCCTTTTCAACATGTGGTTCTCGCCTTAGCGCAGCACATATTCGTCTTTACGACTTGCGAGAGCTTCACGGATTGAGGGCGCGTGTTTTTCAACGTGTGGCTTTCACCTTGGCGCCGCGCACATTGCCAAAACTTCACGGGTTGAGGGCGGTTTCTTTTCAACATGTGGCTTCCGCCTTAGCGCCGCTTACATTCGTCTTGAACAGCATCAAGAGATTTATGGATTGAGGGCGGTTCCTTTTCGACATGTGGCGTTCGCCTTCGCGCCGCACACATTCACATTTCACGGATTGATGGCGGTTTCTTTTCAAAATGTGGTTCTTGCCTTGGCGCCGCGCACAATCGTCTTAAACAGTTGCATGAGGTTCACTGGTTCCCATTGTTTGATTATCAGAAAGGGCATTTTGGAAGGATTCTGGATTCTCAGGGCGCAACAGTTACGTTGATTCGCGGTGCTGATTCAGGATCGTCAAGACGCAACAGTCAGGCTGATTCGTGGCGTTGAAGTCCCGAGAATGGTGCTTTAGCACGCTTCGGGATCCTCAAACGATTGTATCCAAACAGGTATCTTCCAACATCGTTGATGAGTCTTGGGTTTACACTGGTCATCCTCCTCCTCCTCCTCCGCCTCCTCCTCCTCCTCCTCCTCCTCCTCCTCCCCCTCCACCTCCTCCTCCTCCTCCTCCTCCTCCTCCTCCTCCTGCTCCTCCCCCTGATCCTCCTGCTCCTCCTCCTGCTCCTCCTCCTCCTGCTCCTCCTCCTTCCTCTCCTCCTCGCTCATCCTCCTCCTCTTCAAAGATATGATGTGTTCATTCCCGGCGTCTTCCCTGGATTTCGGCCCCTGGGGCCCGCTGTCGGGCCCCGTCGCCATCAAAAACGGATCGGGTGCGGAAAACAACTCTCGGGGAAGGGACCAGGGCCGTGTGGGCCGCGCATTGAACGAATCACATCTTCGGAGGTCTGGTCACCTAACCGATCCTGCCCAGACCCATCCTGGCCACAGGATCGGTGCATACGCCCGCCTAGCCTGGCCTAGAAAGACATATACGCAAATCCTAGCGCAGGATCGGCCTGGCCAGGATCGGTGTAAGTGTATAACCAGACGCCCGCCGTCGTAGATCCCAGGACATCTGGACCCCTGTCCCGAGACTCGTCTTCCATCCCGAGTCGTTGTTTCAATGTCCTGGGGCCCAGTGAGGGCCCCCAGAGGCAGAGTCCAGAAACGATCCGTCGTGTTCGTCTTCACGACTCGAGGGGGTATGTGCAGCTGGCGCCATCCGAAGACCCCGGCCGCGTGGTCGCACATCTCGCCGACTGAGCAGACGTGGCTGCCGCACGAGCAGGGGACGGACGTGAAGTTCCCGCCAACGCACACGCTGGGCGCCGGCTGGTCTCTCTGGCGGCACGGCGAGGAGGCGAGAGGAGGAACGGCGGTGGACTTGGCGGCGCACGTCAGGTCAATGAACAATAAGCGCAGCCCCCCGCAAGAGCGAATACGAGTGAAGGGGGGCATCCGTGTGGGTCCCCCGTGGCACTACCATACAGTCCCTCTCTCTGGTTTTCTCGTGTCGACCCCCCGTGTGCACCTCCCCCGTGTGCCCCTCCCCCATCCCCTCCCCGTGGCCCCAGCGGCGAACGTCCCATAACGGGCACGCACACTCAGGCGTGTGATCATCCAGCTCTGACCCCCTCCATTTAAAGATCCATTGCAATTGCAAAAACCTATGGGTGGCGGCCGAGGAGTGGGGGCAATGGCGGGGGAATGAGCGGGGAATAAAATGGAAGGGGCGTAGGAAGGGGGAAGGGGAAGATGGGGGGGGGCAGGAGAGGGGAGAGGGGGGCAGGTGGAGAGGAAGGGAGAGGGAGGGCGAGGGAGGGCGAGGGAGGGAGGGGGGCAGGAATGAAAAGGAAAGGGATGAGGAGCGAGGCAAGTCTCGAACGGGATGGAGGCGGCGAGGGGCAGGGAACAGAGAACCGACCCCTAACCACATCCAGCCTCGGCGACCTCGATTGCGCGACCTTCGTTCGGTAGTCCCCTGCCTTTCTTCGGCGTCACCTCCCCTGCCTCCCTGCCTTCTGCTCCCCTGCCTCCCATCCATCCGCCGCTCACCTCCCTCCCTCCTCTGAACTGGCCAGGCGAATGAGAGCAGGATGCCGTCCTGATCTTGGCGCACTCCTCCGCGGCGTGGCTGCAGATGTCACCGCTGTCGCACGAAACGCCGTCCCCACAGCTGCATGGGCCTCGGAGGCGGACAAGCATCGGTTTGCGGTGGCTTTACAGCCTTTGCACAAGTTGCACGGAAACCAAATATAAGTGGCGTCCACGCTGGGAGTTATCTCTGCCTTTTCCTCCTGTTCCTCCTGCTCCTCCTCCTCCTCCTCCTCCTCCTCCTCCTCCTCTTCCTCCTCCTCCTCCTCGTCCGCCCCCTCCTCTCCTCACCATCAGTACCACCACCATCACTACCACCACAACAAGCATCATGGCCATCAGCATAAGCATCCCCATCGGCCTGGTTCGTCTTGAATATGCCCAGGGCGGCGTTTTTGTTAGCGTTTTCAGCTCGGCGTATTGGAAATCATATGTTGGGGGCGTTCTCAGGTCTCCAAAAAACTGAGAGTGCTAAAAACATGATGCGTTGTTCTAGCGTGTTCAAATCATGTTTAACGTTTTCAATCCCGTGGACTGTGCGTGTCCTTCTCACTGCGTATCCCTATTGTTTTCTTTATACAAGTTTGTTTTTCAATGGCCGTCGCTGTTGACTCGTCGCGAAAGCCCGCCTTCCCCTGCTGCTGTGTCAGAACGTTGTTTGTAGTTTTGTTCGTTTTTGTTCGTCTCCGCGCGGGAACCCGTTTTTGGGCCCTCCCCCGTGCACGCAACTCATGGATGCAGGTGCGTCGGCCTTGGAGACGGAAGAAAGGGCAGAAAGGGCGAACGGTGGCAGGGCGGGGAGCGCGGGAGCCAAGCTGGCAGAGAAGACAAGGAGGAGCCTTCGACGATAACGCAAACAAGCGCAACAAAACCCGGCACCACAGCAACGAACCCGAAAACGCAAACAATAACGACCCTAACAACGCTACAACAACGAAGCGCTTTTAAAGCGTCTTCAGCCTGCCAAGAGCCCAAACTAGAAAAAAACTAAAAAACACGTTGGGTCTGCGGGTCGGGAGCGGGCCCCTTCCGGTCAAGAGCCAAGCGGGACGCGGGTAGCCCTAATCGGGGAAGACAGGGCGCGGGCGGGCGGGGCCTCAGGCGGTCGGAGGGTTCGGAAAACAGGCGGCGCCCAAGATCTTGCACAGGACAAGGTACGCCATGGACTGGAGCAGGGGGCGCGGTCCCAGAGGGAAAGTGGATTGGCGTTGCCGTCGCCGGCGCGCCAAGAACACCATCCTCGAGTGCTGCGTGAGGGGGGCCGTGAGCAAGTCAACGTCCGCGAGGTAGAGGAAGACCAGGAAGGCGGAATGCACCAGGTGCCACCGACGGGTAAGGAGGGGCCCAGGAGAGTCGGACGACCACGAAATCGATGTGCAGCGCTGTGCCACCGGGTGGTCAGTAGCGGCCTGGGGTGGTAGTCCAATCCACGCCCAGGTAGCAGCCACGAGGTTCGGCATGAAGGCCGACTGTGTCCGCCTGCCGTGGGGGAAAAAAAGAGCTAAAAACACGCCGAGGGCGTTTTAAGGGTGAACCAAGATCATCAGCATGATGGTCGATATCGTCACGATCATCCGCATCATGATCATCATCGCATCCCCGCCACAACCATCATCAACGCACTATCAGTATCATCATCGACGCTGGCATCATCAGCATCAACATCAGCATCCGCATCATCACTTGCACCATCATCATCGCCATCGCCCACCATCAGCATAATCAGAAGATGCACCACCATCATCATCATCAGCATCATCAGCATCATCAGCATCATCAGCATCATCATCATCATCATCATCATCATCATCAGCATCATCATCATCGATATCATCAATATCATCAATATCATCATCATCATCATCATCATCATCATCATCATCATCATCATCAGCATCATGAGCAGCATCATCATCACCACTACCACCATCATCATCAGCAGCATCACCATCGTCATCGTATAATTACCACCATCGTCGTCATCGTCATTGCTATCATCACCATCATCATAACCAGCACGATATGGTTATCATCATCATCATCATCATCACCATCACCATTACCATCACCATCACCATCACCATCACCATCATCATCATCATCATCATCATCATCATCATCATCATCATCATCAGCATCATCATCATCATTCACACCATCATAATCAACAACAACATCAGCAGTATCATCATCGCCGTCATCAGTACCATCAGCAGCACCATCATCATCAGCATCGTCATCATCATCATCACCATCACCCTCGCCATGACCATCATCAGCATCGTCATCATCAACAACATAATCATCAGTTTCATCATCATCAGCAGCAGCATCATCAACATCCTCATCATCAACAGCAACATCATCGTCAGCAGTATCATCACCGTCATCGGTACCATCAGCAGCACCATCATCATCATCATCATCATCATCATCATCATCATCATCACCCTCACCATCACCATCACCATCATCATCATCATCATCATCACCATCATCATCAGCAGCATCATCAGCATCAGCATCATCATCTTCGTCATCAGCATCAGCATCATCATCTTCGTCATCACCATCATCATCATCATCGTCATCGTCCCCATCATCGACATCACCATCATCGGCTACATCGGCCTCATCCCTACAATCCCAACCCTCCTCCCTCCTCCCTCCCCCTCCTCTCCTTACTCGGTCCGCCGTCACATTCAGCCCATGCACGTCCTCCCCCATCCCGCCTCTTCCTCGTCCCCTGCACCTACCCTCCATTTCGCCCCCGAACCACCTCCCACCTACCTTCAGTCGGCAGCGCGCCGAGGGGCGAAGTGAGAGGGGGCAGGCCATCTCAGAAGGTGGTGGGCCGTCTGAGAAACCTTTCGGCTTCCTGAGAAGCCGTCTGTCTGCAGCGAAGGCGCGAAAAACTTCTCAGAAGGCCGGAGGCCTCCCGAGTCTTCTGGCAAAATCCGGCCCCTCCGCCCTCCCCTTCTGGGCGCGCCGCCGATTCATCCAACAGCAGGAGTGGGAGGAGAGAAAGTGTTATGCCCCGCGGCGGCCCGTGTGGATGCTGCTGTCCACGCAGGGGCCCGCCTTCGCGCACGTGCTGGTGCCCTCGTCACAGATCTCGCCTCGAAGGGCTGTCTGAAAGCCTGGGAATCGGCACCCACACCAGCACAGGGGGGAAAGATGATCCTGGATTTTGGTGCTGGTGGCAGTCTCGCGGCCACCAAACAAGCCCGAGTATTACCACCATCGCCGAGACAGGGATCATTTTCACTCGGTGAAAGCGACCGCCGACATCGGTGTTTGTGCCAATTCGTGGGCCTCCGAAGGATGACAGGGGTCAAGGGGGGAGCAACTCTGGAGACGCCGGCCCATTCCGCCCCCCCCGTCTACAAGTATCGCTCGATATGGGGTACTGATCTCAACCTCTCTCTCTCTCTCTCGCTCTCACCTGGCAGTGTGCAGCGGGGCCCCGGCAGCTCTGTCGCACTGCATTCCATACGGTTGTTCACTATGTGGTGCTTCACGTGTGCTCTGTTCGATCGGATCGCTCTCGGCCCTTCACAGAGGTGGCCCTGATGCAGCGTTGGCCACAAATGAGGGTCAGTGCATTGCTCCTGTCGTTCCAAATATCGTTCTCGCCCTAGCTAGGGCCACACTTCTGGCTCCGATTCATTCCGCGCCGGCGCCTTCCCCCTCCTTTCCCTCCTCCGCATTCCTCTGGTACTTCTGCTCCTCTTACACCCCTTTCGGGGACCGTGAACCCTTTCTGCGCCGCAGGACTTCCCCTTGTAAAAGACCAGGTGGGCGCCCCAGGCGGAGCACTTCAGTTGAAAAACGCAATGGGCACCGGGGGGAGTCAACAATTCGCCGGCCCAACGGGCCAGGGCGTGCTAAGATCTCCGGTGACTGGTTAACAGTATTAACAGTATTTCTAGTTCGCGCGCGCGTGGCGGCCCCTGGGGGTCCCCCGGCGAAAAGTACCCCGACCAACGCCCGACCAACGCCCGACCGCCGCCCGACCAAGTCTACTCAGAGATGGTTTTCCTTCTGGGTGCGGCCTCTCAGGCTCCCCAGAGCGCGCTCAGAGTGCCCCAAGAGGCCCCCAAGACTGCCCAAGAGGCCCCCGAGACGCCCAAAGAGCGCTCGAAGACGCCGAAGATGACCCCAAGACGGCCCAAAAGGCCCCCAAGACAGCCCAAGAGGCCTCCAAGACGCCCCAAGAGCCTTCCAAGAGGCCTCCGAAGAGAGCCCCAAGAGGCCAAAATCGTTGATTTTCATTGGTTTTTTGATGTTTTTTGTGTTCTGGCTTTTTCGGCTTCCGGACGCTCCAAGACGGCCCAAGAGGCCCCCAAGACCGCTCCAAGACGGCCCACGAAGCTCCCAAGACGGCGCCGAAACGACCCAAGAGAGCCCTCAAGACGGCCCAAGTGCCGCCCAAGACGGACCAAGAGGCCCCAAGACGGGCCCAAGAGGGACTCAGGAGGGATACCGAGAACTCAAAAATGGAGCCCTCCGTCCCAGAAGGCGCCCAGGAGGTCCCAAAGAGGCCCCAAGAGGCCTCCAAGAGGCCCCAAGATGTCGCCAAGAGGCCCCAGGAGACTCCCAGGAGGCCCAAAAGAAGCCCCAGAAGGCTTCAAACATGTCTCCCAGGCGCCCCCGAACGGCCTCTCAACAGACCCCAAGAGGCCCCCCAAAGAAGCATCTTGACGACGACTCTATTTCGCCCCATCGAGAGACGACCCCCAGGGAACTGCTTCACCATCAAAACTCCCCACGCAACGCGTCCGAACGACACCCGCCCCCAAGAGCGCAACATGGGCAACGAACACACAGACAAAAACCATCGATGCCATATCACGGGCCGGCGGAATGAGCGAAGCGATTCAATAATCAGAGCCACTCTTTTCACATAGCAGGGGTACAGTTCCGACGAAAGCCTCGAAGCGTCAGGGCCAGAGGATACAGTCAAATGCGCACCCTCGCTCCTCCCAGGGAGGAAGGGCGGGAGCCGAAGACAGGCGATGGAGGAAAGAGAGGAAGCAAGTGAGAGAAAGGATTCCGATGTTTAAACCCCGTGGATCGTTTAGCAGGCGGTTCATAACTGGCACGGAACACGAGAGAGAGTACGAGGGGAGCAAGGAACAGAAAACACGAGCCTGAATCAGACGGGCTAATCGGGCGGGTAGACCCTGACGGGCGGGTCGGGAAGGCGTGCGCAGGCAGCCAGGTCGAGCAGAGAGGTTGCCGAATCGTGCGTCCAGCATGAACCGTGAGGAAATCTCGAGCGATAACGCGATTCCCAAATAACTCGTGACAAAGGCCAAAGCGAGAGCGTGATTCCTGAGCGTCGAGGGCGCATCGTCTGAATAAATGGTAAGCAAGTCCCGCGCGAGAGCGCGATTTGGGAATACAGTGAGAAACAAGTCAGGCGGGAGCCGTTGTTGTTGTAAGTCGGGGGCCAGGGGCACGGCCCCAAAGAGGGCTCCCAAACGGCCCAAGAGGGCCCCGAAACGGCCCAAGAGCCTCCAAAACGGCTCAAGAAGGCCCCAACAACGCCCCCAGAGAGGTCCCAGGGGAGGGGGAAACGAATCAACATTTCGAGCTCTCGGCCCTGAGGCCCCAGGAGTCCCCAAGAGGCCCCTAAAGAGACCCCAAAACGCCCCCAACAGGCCCTCGGGAGGCCCCAAGAGGCCCCCAAGCGGCCCCAGGAGGGCCCCACGAGGCAAACATCAGTGTTGTTCCTTAGGTGCTGGGAGTCGAAAGTGAGCCTGGTAACTCAAATAGCATCCGCTCCCATGGGAATCGAATGGCAGATAGCGTCCATTCCTCTGCTGCGGTGGTTCAGTATGGGGAATGGGCGGGTATGATAGGATAAGATCGATGTATCGGTCTTTCCAGCACATAGCGAACACTAAGGTAAGTGTCCGGGCAAATAGGGCGCGCGTGCCTTGAGCCACAGGCAACGGCGCGCGAGTTATGCTCCCGATACTATAACATCTCCCAAAGAGCTACCCTTAAAGTCGGGAGGGGAGGAGACGGAGAGCATAGCCGCGCAGCCGTTAGGCTCTTCAAAGGCCGCGCGCACGACTGTTTGCAAGAAAGAAAACAGTGCGTACAGTCTGGCCTAACACCAGACTGTAAGGCGAGTTTCCTCGCAAGGCATTTCACGCAAATACAAGATAGCCCCTTCGAACGATGAAGGGCTATCGGCTCAGTTAGAGGTAAGCCAAACAGGCCATACCTCACCGAGCAAATATGTATTAAGGCAAAGAGCCTGAGTCATACAAAGCCGGCTCGTTGCCAGGCGTGAAATGTAAGGCTCGTTTCCGAGCAACTAGAAGGGCGCCTCCATAGTAGGCGCCCATGCTGGCAAATTGGACCGCGGGGGCAACAAGGACAGACTAAAATTGATTAGAATTGGGTTTGTCTCTGTCCTCGGGACCCCGAAAGGGAACAAACTGCTTCACGTCATACTTGAATGACTGAGTGCCTGACATCACTTCCAGAAGCAGCTCCCGATCGATGCTTCCCTTTGCATGCCCGTCTGCGGTCATATCCCTAGTATCACACCACTGCACGTTATGTATTATACCTGTATCCATGAGCTCACGTATCCAACTGATGTGTCCAAGTAGAGTCCGCTCTGTCGGTATCTTAAGATCCTTGCTTGATAATGATTTATAAACGGACTCAGCGTCTATGGTAAGAGATACTTTGATGGCTAGGCCTCCAACTTCACGCATATCTCGTAGTTGTCGTGGAGTCAAACTCCTGCCTTGAGCTCGTGGAGAGTGATGAGCGTAGGGTAACACTCATCGAGGTTATGCGCCGCTGCGAGTGCCTCTGCAGCATAGCTGGACCTCACCTGCAGTCGGTGTGATTTGCATAGTCCGTCACAGAGGTGAACGACTGACTTGCCTTGAGGCGAGTTTCCTCGCCGTAGTACATTCGCCCCGCGTATGCCGTAGCCCTTGGTCTCATCATCCTCCTCCCCGGTAAGCTTCCGATACCCCGAATCGCTGTGGATGTCAACTTCATTCGTCGGCTTCATTCGAGGGAAGGTGATGCGTTTCGGGCTGCTGATCAGCTTTCGCGTCGCAGCATTCAGGCGTCTGACTTGCAGATTGGTGGGCTCTTGGATTTTCTGGAGAGAGACCACGTATACCATGAGCCAGATTTGAATAAGAAGGGCATAGGCGAGGGCTCCTCGCAAGCTGACGAACATGTCGGCAATGAGTTTCGTGGCTTTGGCATCGGCCGCCGTTCCTGTAAGTTCTGGGTGTGTGATAGGACGTAGTTGTTTGATATACTCGTCCTGATCCATAATCACATCCCCTTGATCATTCTTAGTGTAGCGAACGGCGCAGTTCGTATACGTGTGTTTGTTTAGCTTGCATTTGCCAAATACCTTTTCGACACGCTGTACGTAGTCGTCTATATTTTTCTCTAGGCCAGTCATGTTAATATCATCGACATGTTTTGCCGTTAGCAGATCTTGGCTGAATTCAAATTCAGGGTCATAACTGGTCGGTGTAAGACCCATAGCTCGTGTGGTCGTGCGAAGTTTGAGAGAGAACGCTCTTGGAGCATCCTTTGTACCCGTTCCTGGTTTGAGGCATCTGCGGCAGTGTCGGCTTTCGTCATAGGATGAGAAGCCGGGTAGTGTACGAAGTACCTGGGCACTTCCCGGTGGAAGAGTGAAGCAGACCATGCGAGTTTCCTCGCCCGTGGCATGGGCAAGTTCCTCATAGGTCAAACCCTTGAGGAACGCCTTGTCGATATCCATGGATGCTAAGATCCACTCTGGATGGCATGCCGCCTCACTTGCCAGGAGTCTCTGGGACTGCCTTCGGGCGGTTCCCGAGAAAGCTTCCACATCGAAAGCCTCAGTATCCATAAATCCGCGAAGGACAAGTCTGAGACGAATGGTTTTAACGTTCTCGGTACCCACCTTTACAAACTTCCACTTGTATACATACCTGGATGTCATGATGTTGGAAGCTTTGGATAAAACATCTCAAAGCATCGGTTGTCAATCCAGATTTTGAGCTCAGTATACAAAGCTTCACTAACCTCCTTTGGGTGTGCTGCTATGTCGGCTTTGGTCAGTAGATCATCTTCT